CACAGAGCCCCTACTTCATCAAGTTAGCCATTATTATTAGCTCTTATTCCTTGGCAAGTCAGAGGGTAACCTGCATCCCTTCTTGACCAGGAGAGACTCCTCCAGGGACTAATAATAATTTAGAAACCATTTATTGAGTGTCTTCTTTGTGACAGACACTATTCTGGATGTGGCTCAAGCAGCCTCTCACTGAATACTCACCAAGAAGCTATGATTTAGGTATGATTTTCCCCATTTTAAAGATATAAACTAAGGGTGACAGCACTTAAAATATTTTCCCAAGACCACTGGAGAAATAAATGGCAGTGCTGGAATTTGACACCAAGGTTTTCTGGCTCCAAAGTCCAGGTTCTTTTCTCAGCATTGCACCACAGAATTTGAGGTTTTGTGTAAAGTAATGGAAACAGAAACAGTAATTACCTCATAAGGGCATGCTCTGGGTGGAGGAATGTAGAGAATTCTCTGTACATTCATGATTAGGGGGATAGGCGGAGCAATCAAAATGCCCTTAGCTACATGTATCAACAGCTTACTATGTGACAGGCCTGTGCTAAGCACTTTCATGCGATGGCTTTTTAATCCTTTTGCTGTTAATCCTTTTATTTATTTCGTTGTTGTTAACCCTTTTTCATGTTAAGGATTTTTTAAAAATTATTACAACAAACCTATGTAGTTAGTACTAATATCCCAGTTTACAGATAAGAAAACCGAGCCACAGAGAGGGAAAATGACACGCCTAACGTCCCCTAATGAGTAACTGACAGAGTCAGGCCCTGAATTCAGGTAGGTCTGACTTCAGAGTCCATAATCTTAACCATCATTGTCTTTGGGCATGACTGATAAATTGCCTACTTCCCTTTTGTAGCTGGAGACGGCCAGGTCAGCCGGGGACCTGGAGCAGGGAATACATGAGGCGCACTCTCTTAATGAGGCCATCTATGACTCTCTGAACCACACCAAGACCTGTGGATCTTTTATGAAGTCTGTGTGATGGTCTCCAAGGATTCGGTTCTGCAGTGGCCCCTTGGGTCAACAGGATCTGCAGTAAATCGACCAGAGATTCCTCCCCTACCATGAAGAGTAGAGTGTATTTCTCAACTACTTGAATGTGGGCTTGGCCATGAGACTACATTGTCCAGTGGGACATTATCAAACATGATGCCCAGGTTGAAAAGGCACTTATGCATTGGGGCATGCTCTCTTGCTCTTCTTGGAACCCTGAAACCACCATGTGAACAAGCCAGAGCTGGCCAGCTGGAAGATGAGAGGCCACGTGGAGGCGAACCAACGCACCCAGGCCAACAATCTGCTCACTGCCAGTCATGTGAATGGGGTCATCCTAGATCATCCAGCCAGCAGATATACACAGACATAGGCGAGAACTTAAATTCTGTGCCCTGGGCACACTTCACCTGACCCACTCTAGTCCCAGTCCTCAGACATAACTCCTCTCCTTCTTGTGGGAAGATCTCTCAGGAGGCTGTGTATGTGGTCAGTATTCTAAGTACTAGGTAACCTATAATGTCCAAATGTAATGCTTATGGCAGTACCAGAGACTTGGTCTCTCTAAGAGGTCTAAGAGACAGCAGAATTGAGGCTTTCCAACCAGGTGAGACCAACAACCAGGAGGATGCCTGTAAATGACTGGAAGTTCCACCCAGGAACTCTGCCATGTTTTGAGGTCCTCCAACGGTGGGTGCCCATATATGTTGTCTATTTCCATTGGTATTGAATGGCTGGGTCAATAGTTGGGTTCACTGGGACAGTGCCCAGTTCATAAAGTTCCCTAAGGCAGCCTAATATGTCATGATGTGGACCTATCTGCAGAAGAATGCCAACTACACAAAGTTCTACTAATATCCAGAATATTCCCTGGCTCAGACTGGACTTGGAATAGTGGAGGATAGAGGACAGAGCCCAGCACAGTCCTCTTTCACGGACAGAGTCTGTGCTTTTCTGCTCCATGAGCCTGCCGCACAACAGCTCCTCCAAGGTCACACAGGAGAAGGGCACTCCTCCACACCCACATGAGCCTCAGGGGCAGCCAAAAGAGAGCCTTGCCAGGTTGGTGAGCAGGTGTGGTCAGATCTTTAATCATGCCTCCAACCATGGATAGGAAAAGGTCAGTGAACTGAGTCAAGCCAGTTCAGGAGTCTGGACCAATTCATCATCCTCGGTGCCAATTGACCTTTTTGGAACTGTGTCCAGAGATAGAATCATTCCAGGTAGGCTGCCAAATCCTATGCATGTTGGCTGGAAGGCAGTGCCTTCCTGCTTTCCCCATGCCCAAGGTGTTGAATGGCTGCACTGCTCCATTCATACAGAGAGGGGTCTCCTACCACGTATGGAGCCTACACACTCCTAGGAAGCACTGCCAGGTGGCAGGCAGAGGACCTGTTCATTCTTCAGACTTACTGGGTAGACATCTGTCCTTGCTGCCTGCATGCATTCACTCTTATTCATCATCATTGCCATCATCATCTACACAGCTCTTCCTATGAATGAGACACCGTCCTGAGTGCTTTTACAGATATTTATACACTGGATCTCATAACAATGCTATAAGACAGGGACTATTATTTTATCCATTTTTCAGCTGAGGAATCTAAGGCACAAAGAGATTTAAGCACCTTGCCCAAGGTCACACATACATAAACTTAGGAATGCTGGCTCCATAGTCTATGATCTTAACCCGTACACAGTGCTGCTTCTCTAGTTTTCCTCTGAGGGAGGGACCACCTCTCCCCGACTCTCAAATCATGGGGTGGGCATGTGGGCCTTCCTCATCGGGATGAGGCACATAACTCGGTTATGCCAACGAGCATAACCATCTTTCTGGCTACATGTGACCCGTGGTCCAACGAGACTTTAGCTCTTGTCACTGGAGTTGCAGTGCTGACAAGACATAAGACAAAAGGTGCCACAGCCATCATACTCCCATAGGAGAAATGCCTTCCTGAAACTGATACCAAGACAAAGGAAGGCTGAGCCCAGAAGTGGAGAGAGAGATTCCTGAAACCTTATTTCAGCACCTTGATTCACTGTGCCTGAAGCCAGGTCTACTCTTGAGCTTTTCAGTTTCAGGGACCAAAAATTCCCCTTTTCACATAAGCCAGTTTCACATAAACTCATAAGCTGAGTTTCTGTCTTAGGCAACAGACAAAGTTAACAAATATAGACAGGATATGGGAAACCCCATCCTTTCGGCTGCTCCCTGATATCAAGCCTCGGTCTGCGTGAACATTCAGAGCTGCATAATGGAGCCAGGCTGTCCCCCCAAACTTCTCGCCTGCTTTCCTGGGGATGAGAGAAGGAATTCCACTAAAAGGGCCAGGGAGTGTGATCTGAGAGGACATGATGAAAGGTCCTTCTTCATCTTGGAACACAGGCCTGCAAGGGCTTTGGTTGTTCCATGTTGCCTGAAGTTCCTAAACCCAAGTACCACAGTTTCCAAGCAAAGTAACTACAGCATAAGCTCCAGAGTGTTCATGTTGCTGTGGCAACAGATACGCCCCTGATTTGCAGCAAAATGGCAGATGACTACTTGTAGCAGGCCAGCAAGAGTGGAACAAATGCAATGGCAGAAGGCAGTCACCACTCACTTCTGGCAAGCTGAGGTCAGCCGTCAAGTCTAAGTGGGTAAGAATAGGACCAGTAACAGAGACAAAGCCAATGGGGAACATTCCAGGAAGGTGAACCAAAGCAGGAACAAAGTCAGAGAACTAGGGGAGATGGTTGCACATGGGGTATGCTGAACACAGTTCTTTACTGGGCAGTGGAAGGGTGTGCATGGTGGGAAGTTCTATCAGGACAGTCTCACCTGCATGTAAAAGAATACCCCAAACAATGAGATTTGACCAAGAGGAGCTCCTTATCTCACATACTCAGTCTGGGGACAAGAGAACTCAGAGTGGGCTCAGCAGCTCATCAGTGTCATCAATGACCCAGGTTTCTTCAGCTTTTCCACTCTGTCATGCTCAGGATGTCAGTCAGCTGTGTCTCCCTCATTGACCCAAAAGGGCTGCCACAACTCCAAGCATTATATCCTCACACAAAAATGCCCAACAGGACAAAGGAAGGGATGTCTTCTCTTATCAGAAAGGAAAGTCTTTCCTAGAAGCCCTCCCCAAATTTCCCCTCAGGTCCCACTGAGCAGAATTGGGTCACATGCTCATTCACCAGCTACAAGGCAGCCTGGAAAAGCAAATATCAGGCATTTTCAGCTTCTAACATAAAAGGAGACCTCTGCCAGAAAGAAGAGAGTGAGAGCCATGAATGGCTGTTGTGTAGGCAATCAACAATGTACCCCAAACTTTAGACAAACTTGTACCAAGACTTTCACCATATCCTTATAGCACCCATACTGTCATTCACCTAACAGTCTCCTTAAATCAATCTATCTTTTGTTCAACCTAATTACTTTTACTTAGGTAGGAAATTTTATATCCCTACTGTAAATGCAAAACCACTACTAGATACATTTTTTCAATCCATATTAAAATAAATTCATAATGATTGAAACAAAAATTATTTGCCTGTTTTACCTACAAGCATCCCTTGTCCTACCAGCAGTCGTCATACTCTGGGATGCATAGTTGCAGGATAAACTCATTTCCTCCTAATTCTTGGGCCCTGATATCAAGAATTCCCTAACGAAGAGTAAAGTGCATTGTAAGGTACCATCCTAACTACCTTTTTACAGGAGTAGTAACAATTCAGCCCCTGCCCACCACACTCCATGCCCCAGCTGTAAAGATGAAGACATTTAGCAAACTCATAGTAGAGGAACTAGGTGTTTTCTGTACACTCACACCCCAACTCTCAAAACTTTTTGCTTTGTTTTTTCCATTAAATGAAAAACCTCTCAGAGGCTGTAGGGACCACCACATGCTTTGGAATGAGAACATCCCAACTTTTTTGTTTCAGCGTATTCACTCACATTTACCCCAAACGATGCACGGACTGTGGACAGAGAGAGGTGACCAGTGCCCATTACTTACATCGGAGGCTGGGCCCTTGTCAGCGCCTGGGCAGGAGAAAGTGACAAATTCATGGCACCGCTTGTGCACGACAAAACAGCAGACTGCAAAAGAGAAATAAGGGTAGGAGGAAGGGAAGAAGGAAAGTGGAGAGGAGGAAGAGAGGGAGAGGGAGGAAGAGATCATTAAACGTGGACTTCACGACAAGTAAAGGCTTTATACCAAAACAAACCACGCCTTCAGCGTCCGCACCTTGTCCTTTATTGAAGTCAGACTCTGGGGTACGCTGATGTTGCCTCATGCACATTAGTTAAGCTTCTAAAGTTATCTAGGGTTCAAAAGATCACAGATGTTCAAAATTACACCACCCTGAAGATCGCTTAAGTTGTCTGGTTTTGAAACAGAATGTTGTTTCTTAGATCAGGCACCATATGAAGTAGTTGGCTTGTGTTTAGGTCCATAATGCATAAGAAACATGTCTATTTAAACACTAGAATCACACTTAAGAGAGATGTGCATAATACGAAGGGCCTGCAGAAACACAGTGAGCAGGAACGGCAGACCCACGCCTCCATCTCACCCAGGAGCAATGTCAATTATGTGGGAGAGTGGAAGAAATAGGCTGCACTGTTTACGTTGTTACTTTAGTAGTTTGCAACCAGATATATATATATATATGTATCTGAATTTGTGTAAGTTAAATGCATCTATGGTATGGCTCCACTATTTGGGGATTGTATCACTTGCGGGGAGGGGCAGTCAGAGAATATACACAAAGCAAAACTGATTTTTTTGTTGTTGTTCAAATCTTCTTTTACAGTTTTGTTGTTCCAATCAACTTACACAGCTCTAGACTGTGGGTTCCTGGGGGATGGGTGCCACGCTGTAGGGACCAGTGCAGCATCTTTCTAAAGGACATTCTCCGTAAATGATAATAGAACAGGAAACCTCAAGGCTACCCCTAGTGATATAATGGATCAGGGCAACAAGCATCAATGGCTGCTAATATCACAAAAAGACACCACCTGCCTACTGATGAGAGCACTATGACGTAGCCCCCACCTATGAAGTGTTCTTGCCAGAATAATCGAATCTGAATCAGTTCAAGAGCATCTTGATCCAACTACCAATTTACAGAAAATACAAGCGACAGAGGCGCATATTAAATGACACCACAGGGAGGCAATCAGAAAAAAAAATTTTTTTCTTAAATACACCAGTATGTGGAAAACTACAAGATGACCAAACAGTTTCTTCAATAAATAAACTGTGAGAGGACAGGAGAGACTTTTAGGGCAAACTATTCTGTATGATATCGTAATAGTGGATAGGTCTATAGAATGTATAACACAAAGGGTGAACCTAATAAAAACTACAGCTTTTAGTGAATAATAATGTATCAGTATCGGCTCATCAGTGTACAACAACAAATGTACCACAGTAATACAAGATTTTTAAGAGATTTACATATATTAATTCACTTACCATTTATAACAACACTATAAGGCAGGTACTATTTCATTTTTTAAATTGAGATATAATTGACTTATAATATTATATTAGTTTCAGGTGTACAACATAATGATATATTTGTATATATTACAAAATGATCACCACAATGTCTAGTTAACATCCACCAATACACATAGCTACAAATTTTTTTTTCTTGTGATAAGATCTTTTAAGATTTACTCTCCTTGCAACTTTCAAATATAAAATACAGTACTATTAACTATAGTCCATGCTGTACATTACATCCCCAGAACTTATTTAGTTTATTTTGACCCCCGTCACCCATTTTGCCCACTTCCTAACCCCTGCCTCTGGCAACCACCAATCTGTTCTCTGTATCTAGGAGTTCAGGTTTGTTTTGTGTTGTTTTGTTTTTAGATTCTACATATAAGTGAGATCATATGGTATTTGTCTTTGTCTGACTTATTTCACTTGCAAGATGTTAATTATAGGAGGGATGGGGCCAGCCTAGTGGCGCAGGGGTTAAGTTCAGCATGCACCACTTAGTGGCCCGGGATTCGCGGGTTCGGATCCTGGGTGAATACCTACACCACTCATCAAGCCATGCTGTGGCGGCATCCCACGTACAAAACAGAGGAAGATAGGCACAGATGTTAGCTCAGGGCCACTCTTCCTCACCAAGAAAAAAAAGTTAAGGCAAATGGGGTGAAATGTTAACAATATGTTAAAGAATAAAGTGCCTACAGATATTCTTAAAAAAAAATAGGGGGAACAGGACAGGGGTGGAAATGGGGTTAAGGGACTCTATGGGAACTCTGCGCTTTGCAATCAACTTTTCTGTATCCCTAAAACTGCTCAAAGAAAAAAAACTGCAAGAGGAGAAAAGCAGGGCAGGAGAGAAAATTACATATTCAAAGAGATTTCAGAAACTTAACTAAATGCAGTATGTAGAACTTGTCTGGATCCTAATTTAAATAAACTAATAGTTTAAAAAATTATGAGACAATCAGGAAAGTGGATATACTCACTTTTTGATGATATGACGGAATTATTGTTATTGATATTTGGGAATTATAATTTTTTGATGTGATAATGGTATTGTGGTTATTTTTTGTTAAAGAATTCTTACCCCTGAGGATACACCCTATAATCTTTATGGATAAAATGATTCAATTCAAAATAATTCAGTATGAAAGGAAGGGGATAGAAGGGGAAAGGTTATAATGGGAAAAAAATTAGTCATGACTGATCATTATTGAACCCAGGTGAGGGACACACGAGGACTCATTATATTAATGTCTACTTTTATATATGTCTGATATTTTCCATAATATAAAATTTTTTTTTAAACTCTCATGTCTGGGAATCAAGAAGAGTTCCAAAGAGTTCCAAAATTTCTTTCTCCTTTGCTTACTCCCTTTTCTGTTTTAATATTTATTATATTTTATAAGTAATATATACTTTGTACAAAGACATTTGTGTCAAACAGTGTGTGCGTGTGTGTGTGTGTGTGTGTGTGTGTGTGTCGCCCTCTGTGCCTGTATGTCTGTGGATGCTGAGAGAAAAATACAAGCAATGGTCAAAAAATGCCAGTGATGATTATCTCTGGGCAGCAGGACTGCAGATTATTTCTACTTTCAACCTCACATTTTCTACATTGTTTGAAATTTTGACAATGCATACACATTAGTTATATAATCAAGAAAAATAAGCCTACTTCCATTTCAAAACAAAACAAAGAGTTCAAGAAAAACAGAGATCAGGGAATGAAAAACATGACTGTCAAAACTGGAAGCTCAATAGTTGGGCTGATAACAGAATGGACACAGCTAAAGAGGAACTTAGCCAACTGGAAGTCTAAATTGAGGGATTTTTCCCAGAACTTTACAAGAAGTGCAGGAAAAAAAAAAGAAATGATATGAAACATGTAGGATAGATACAAAACTTCTAATATCCCTCGAAAAGGATGTTCAGGAGAGAACAGACAGAATGGTAGAGAAGGTATAATCAAAGAAAATAGAAGAAGAAAATTCTTTAAAGATTAAGAAGAATTTGAATCATTAAATTGAAAGAAACTATCAAGTGTCAATAGGTATGAATGAAAAAAGACTGATGGTAAGGACACCAAGGCTCTGAGATCATTCTCAGGCGTCCAGCAGCAGCAGGAAGGCGGGAGAAGAAAGACCACCAATAAAGGAAGAAAAATAATTTTAGCATCAGATTTCGCATCTGCAACTTTGAATTCTAGAATATGATGGAGCAATATCTTCAAAGGTTTAGGAAAATTCATTTGAACCTAAAACCTCATACACAGCCAAACTAGCATTCAAGTGAAGGTACAAAATAAAGACATTTCCAGAATACAAGGACTTAGAAAATTTACTTCCCACAAAAGAAGTACTAGAGAATGTACACCCCGCAAAACAACAACCAAAAAATGAATAAAAGAGGCATAAGAAACGGTGGTGACAGAAAGAGCAGAAAGATGAAGAGCGGAACCTAAGTCAGAAGAAACGGGGCTGTAAAACTGAAATGTGCTAAGGGTCTTGGCTTATTCCTCAAGAGATTACAGATATCGAGAAACTCCATATAAGACATTATAAGTTTAAACATGTATATTAACAATTAAGAATACAAATAAGAATAGAAACATTCTCTATAATTTCTTGGTATCTGATATGAAATGGGAATCTAATTTGCCTCTTTTTTCCAAATAGGTAATCAATTGTCCCAGCATCTTTTATTGAATAATTCATCCCTTCCCCACTGATTTCAAATGCCAGCTTTATTATATGCTAAACAATTAAGCACACTGGGGTCTGCCTTGGGCCTTCTGTTCTGTTCCACTGATCTGCCTCGTAGTACAGCAACATGGGTTTTAATTATAGTAGCTTTATAATATGTTATATCTTGGCAGGGTAAGTCCTCCCTCATTATCCTTATTTTCAACATTTTCTTGGCAATCACTCCGTGTTTATTCTTCCAAGTGAACTTTAGAATCAGCTTACCAAGCTTTTAAAAATATCAGTGGAATTTTTTTGGAATTGTATTTATTCAATCCCCCCCCCCAAAAAAAACTTATTGGGACTTCGACCGAAATTGCCTTAAATTTAGAACTTAAACTCAAGATAACTGACATCTTACAACAATGAGTCTTTCTATCAGGAACAGAGTGTCCCCTTGTTAAAATCTTTATCCCTCCCAGTAAAAGCTTTAATTTTTTCCATAGGTCCTACACATTTCCCATTTAGTATTATGTGAGGGATGCTTTTTTTAATGCTATTGTGATTTTGATATTTTTTCCATTTTGTTTTCCAAATGGTTACTGTTTACAAATAGGAAAGCAATAAACTTTCGGCACATTTATTTTGTAAGCTTTTTTTTAACCGTAAAAGTTTCTGTGGGTTTTCAGTTGCTCCCTTTGAGTTTTCCAGGTAGAGAATCATATTATCCCCCCCCATAATATTTTTCTTTTCTCCTCTCTGATAGACATGCCTCTTTTTTCCCCTTATCATATTTCCACGTCTAGAACTTTCAAAACAACGTGGACTGAAAGGGAAGATGGCAGACGGCCCGTCCCGCTCTGAGGTTTCACTAGCTTCGCCTCTCCCGCACTCTCTTCTCAAACTCA